TGTGTGTGTGTGTGTGTGTGCGTGCGTGCAATTAGTTCCAACCTGTGAATCCTCGCATGTCTTTCAGCCATTTTAATTAGTCTATCCTCTCGATTCCCAATCAATTATCTTTGTTCCGTCTCTCTGTGTTATCTGAACAATTACTTTTACCCCCCCCCCTGCTCTCCCACACCTCTGTGGGGGGTCCAGTTTCCTGTGTTTCCTAGCATTCCCCTAGAATGCTAGGGGGTCTCCCTAGCAGCCTAGGGAGCTAGAGAAGAACCTCAGAACGTTAGAATGCCAGAACGTCAGTCATTAACCTAGAAAAGACCTCCCTAAGCCCAACAGGCTTCGTGTCCCCGACAATGGGAAACCAAACACCATAGAACTGCAGGAGTAGAGTGTAAACTACCCTCCAGACGCCAGATTAATTAAGGCCACGGCTGGTAATTTGAGAATTGCATCTCTCCTCAAGAATTGCCCCTCAGATTTGAGTTAGTGATCCCTAATACCAAGGGCTCCGGAAGATAGAAAACGGATCACACACGAAAGAAACCTGTTTTTCCTCTAATGTTATTTCACACGCAGAAAAAAGTTACAAAGCATCAGAAGGGAGAGTCAAGGCGTGAACTAAGGTGAGGCTAGAGTGAGGTAGCGTGCACCATGATGCAAGTGTGCACATGATTCTGACGTTAGTGATCCAATAAATAAATAATCTATATATTTAGACTAGAACACCGCCATACAAAGCCCACTATTGAGCATATGCTTCACTCGCTATGTTAAGGGAGACAGCAGCCACAAGTGTGTACTAATCCCTCCCACTGTGGAACAGGAAGGGGAAAGAAGAGAGAGAGATAAAAAAGACGGGAGAAAGCCCAAGAAAAGCAGGTTAAAGAACACGGTGGGAGGAAGAGAAGATAAAATGAAATGAGAGAGAATAAACAGAAGGAATAGCGGTAAACAAGAAAGCAAAGGAGAATGAGAAAGTGAGAGATAAAAAGAGTAAGTGAGAGAGAAAGAGAGAGAGAGAGAGAGAGAGAGAGAGAGAGAGAGAGAGAGAGAGAGAGAGAGAGAGAGAGAGAGAGAGAGAGAGAGAGAGAGAGAAAGAGAAAGAGAGAGAGAAAAAGAGAGAGGACATAAAGTTAACTTACTGAATAAGACGTCATATATTGGCAGTCTAGTAATTTATGGTCGAGTTTATCAGCTGTGATGTGACGGGGGGGGGGGGAGGAGAGGAGGGGGGGCTGTAGAGAGAAAATATTGAGCAGAGAAGTATTGGAGAGAAGGAGGGGAAGGAAAGGGAAGAGAGGGAAGAGGGATGGAGATGTAAAGAAGGAGGAGAATAAACAAGGAATGATAGACGGAAAGGGAGGGAGGGAGAGAGAGAGAGAGAGAGAGAGAGAGAGAGAGAGAGAGAGAGAGAGAGAGAGAGAGAGAGAGAGAGAGAGAGAGAGAGATCAAACACTATGTTCCCCTAAGAACTCTTTCCAAAAGAATCTACGTCTGATTATCTTAAATGAGTTTTATTTCAATAGAAATTATTAATAATATCAATTTACATAATCCATTTTGACAAATAGTGATATCACAAGTTAGATTTATAACGGGATAGCCGAGAGATAGCCGAGCACCCGAGGACGATATCGCAGAGAGCTAAAGCCAGGTGGCAGAGGAAACAAATTAAGAGAAATTATTGTCGTAATTTGCGTAGATAATTCCTTGGATTAATTAATTCCTTGTACGATGATTCAGGTGTTATGAGTGGTTAATGAGAGTGGAACGGAGTACCGAAGCCGTCAATGTTATCAATACGCAGACCACATCTAGGAAAGGAGATAGAACAGTCGCATCAATGCGTCTGCCAACTTAAAAACCATTTCTCAAAATAGACGTCAATTACTAATCGCGAACTGGGCACAACAGGTGCCCAGCGTTAAAATAAAGGTAATTATTAACTTACAAACAACAAAAAAGTTGTGTATTGTAAAGAACATTAAATATTGTAAAAGTTGTATAGGCTTCCGGTAGAGGGATGTGTTGAAGGGAAGCACTCAAGTGATTATAGCAGAGGCAGAGAGAGACAGAGAGAGAGGGGCAGAGAGAGAGAGGCAGAGAGAGAGAGAGAGAGAGAGAGAGAGAGAGAGAGAGAGAGAGAGAGAGAGAGAGAGAGAGAGAGAGAGAGAGAGAGAGAGAGAGGCAGAGAGAGAGAGGCAGAGAGAGGGTGTGACACTCAGGCACTCAGACAGAAACGTGGAGATCAAACCTACTGAAAGGCGGGGCCCAGAGGTTGATACTCGACCTACATGTATATATATACATGCGAGATATATATACACGAGTACCAGTATTCACACATAATAACATTTATATAAAAACACACGAATAAACGAATATTCAAAACATTAAACATTTAAACATTCGAACAAATATACATAAAAACATTCAAGCAAAACAAATATCCACATGTAGATTAATCCACACATAAAAGTCGAAATAAACGGAAAGCAACAATGTTTGTCGTCCAGCAACGAGAAGGGCTAGTCGACGACCGGGCCGCGGGGGTCGCTAAGCCCCGAAATCACCTCAAGATAACCTCAAGATAACCACCTGTCAGAGACGCTAGACACGTGACCTCATTAGTATCAGAGCTCCTGAGAGAACACTAGCCAAGATCACCACGACAATGATAACCCTTCTTTCCCCCTCCCATTTCCCCTTCCATATATCTCCCTCCCTCTCTTACCATACACACCTCCCTACCCCTTTTCCCTCACACACCTCCCTTTCCCCCTCTCCCATCTTCCCTCCATATTTATCGGGTCCCTCACCTCCATTCCCTCCCTCCCTCTCTCCCTCCATTCCATCCCTCCCTCCCTCTCTCCCTCCCTCCATTCCCTCCCTCCCTTTCCTCTATCCCTCTCTAGCCCTCGGCAGGTTGCTAAGTGTTTTCTAACGAGTAGCGGGAATTATAGTCGTATCCCACCGTGGAGTAATGTATTGACACACACATATACACACACAGATGGGGTCTGGTAGCTGAGCGGACAACGCGCAGGACTCGTAATTCTGTGGCCCGGATTCGATTCCCGGACCAGGCAAATGGGCAAAAGTTTTTTTTCACCCATGATGCCCCTGTTGCCTAGCAGTAAATTGGTACCTGGGAGTTAGACAGCTGTTACGGAGCTGCTTCCTGAGTGTGTGTGTGTGGGGGGGGGAACATTAGTTGTTAGTTACAGTTGATTGACAGTTGAGAGGCGGGCTGAAAGAGCAGAGCTCAACCCCCGCAAGCACAACTAGGGTGAATACAACTAGGTGAATACACACGTACACACACACACACACACACACACACACACACACACACACACACACACACACACGTACACACACACACACACACACACACACACACACACACACGTACACACACACACACACACACGCGTGGTGCGACAAACACACTCGTCTTACGTCTTTTAAACAACTACAACAACAGCAAGAACTGTTTACCGTCAACAACAAAGTGACAACAATCATAGATATGATCCCTGGCCCGACACGCTGGCCATGTTAGTGGCTTCAGACATAGTATATACAACTCTATCTAGAATTCCAACATTCTGTTTGTAACTCATGTTGAACGCATCCACCATTACCTAAATAAACATTACCTTAATCACGATAATCTTTCCATTTTATGTACAACATAAAAAATAAAACAAAACCATCACTTAAACATTTCTTACGCTGAGGAAAACAATCTTTAATTAAAAGTAAAATTACGCTTTACCACCTCGGTAAAAATTCGTGTGTTTGGTTAAGTGGTGAGCGGAGCTGTTCGCTGCCCGCTGTAACGACCTGTATGGGATTATTTACGCAAAATTAATTCAGAAACAGATACTAAACTGGTGCGGGTATATTACAGTGCTGTACTCAGGCCAAGAGTTCTTTAAAGAGACTTTTTTATAGTGCTTTCATATTCTTTCTTGCTGAACATGAACTGTGTTAGCAGTAGTGTTTTGTTTAGTATTCCTCTCCCTGAGAGGTGTTCCGGACCCCCAGGACCCCCCTGGACCCCAGGCCCCCAGGATCCCCCAGACCCCCAGGATCCCTCCAGACCCCAAGGACCTCCCAGACCCCCAGGACCCCCCCAGGATCCCCAGGACCCCCCAGGACCCCCAGGATCCCCCAGGACCCCAGAGCCCATGTAGCAACACTGTGCAACCTTCGCATTGCACCGTATGGACAATGTTTTGACAATTCTTGAGTGTGGTTACAACCTCAGTATTTTAACACTATTAGTATATTGGTTGTGAAACGATTCTCTTACACACATACACACACACACACACACACACACACACACACACACACACACACACACACACACACACACACACAGACACACACACACACACACACACACACACACACACACGCCAAGACAAGTGACCACATTAGACAAGTCGTCGTGGTGCAACAACTCAACTCTCCCCAACTGTGACGAAGGCCTACAGACGGGTCAACCAGGGGAGCAGACCATATCAGAAATGTCAGGGGGACATGTGTGGTGTTTACAGCTTAACAAGGACTGTTGTCAGGTAGACACGAGAGTCGCATTAGGGCTGTAAGCTTTATGGGGGACCTCGCTTGCTGGGCTCAGCACACTCTTCGTGGTCAGTGGAGAGCCAAACCGCGCGCTCAAGCTCTCAAATTCATCTCTCTCTTGCCTTTATCCAAAGGATTTACACACACAAGTAATTTCGCTTCAGATTTTAACGTCTCTGCTTATATAGTCACACTTCCTTGATGCTCTCTCCCTCCCTCGGGCGTCTCTAATATATATCACCAGAAGCCATAACCTCCCACAATCGACTTGAGAATGGTCCAGGACGGATCGAAACGTCGTCGTCCCTTCAACTTCTAGTGTGTGGTCTGGTCAACGCCATAGCCTCATTATACAATAAGGTGAGGCTCACCACCGTCCCCAGAGTACAGTACAAGAGTCTCACACTCACCTCAGAGGCTAATATTGAGGCCCTCACGTCAGCTGTCCATCACTCAAGGGGCTCCTCCAAGTGTTGACAACACTGTAATAAATTAAATTGTTAAAACTTATTACTAGCAGTAACATTGTTATTTTCTCTGGTAGTTTCATCACAGTTTACAATAACAATTACAATAGTAAGGTTAATAACATTGTAAACATAATTTGGCACGTTACATTGGAGTTAATTTGGTTGGTGAAGCATATTAACCTGAGCTGTGGTGTACAGGTCTCCACAGCTGAGTGTGTGTGTGTGTGTGTGTGTGTGTGTGTGTGTGTGTGTGTGTGTGTGTGTGTGTACTCACCTAGTTGTGTTTGCGGGGGTTGAGCTCTGGCTCATTGGTCCCGCCTCTCAACCGTCAATCAACAGGTGTACATATTCCTGAGCCTATTGTAATGTGCTTGAGAACTGTGCTATACAGTCCACAAGGAAGAGCTGGTCAGAGCTGCAGGAAGGTCCATTCTGTATCAACTATCAACATCTGTAGCAACATTCTGTATCAACTATCAACATCTGTAGCAACATTCTGTATCAACTATCAACATCTGTAGCAACATTCTGTATCAACTATCAACATCTGTAGCAACATTCTGTATCAACTATCAACATCTGTAGCAACATTCTGTATCAACTATCAACATCTGTAGCAACATTCTGTATCAACTATCAACATCTGTAGCAACATTCTGTATCAACTATCAACATCTGTAGCAACATTCTGTATCAACTATCAACATCTGTAGCAACATTCTGTATCTGCCCGAAACGTGCTACGCGTGCTAGTGGCTTTACAAGAATGTAAAAACTCTTGTATATATCAATATCAATTAACTAAAGATAAACCTCTCAAAAACTAAGTATGTCAAGATTAGGTCAAGATAAAGTTACGAGGACAGGTCGTGTGTTAATGTTTGGTTAAGTATTAAGACTTAAAATCGTGACGACCTCCAGTGTTAAGGCCGCTGTCAATGTTCTTCCCAGTCACCACCTTTGCTTTACCCTATAAAGCAGTTGAGGAGAGTTAAACACTGGTTAAATCTTAGCAATATTTTTCGGCACTGATTTATTAGTCAAGAGCCCCTGAAGGAGGTGAGGGCCTACCTTGAGGTTACCTTGAGGTGCTTCCGGGGCTTAGCGTCCCCGCGGCCCGGTCGTCGACCAGGCCTCCTGGTTGCCGGACTGATCAACCAGGCTGTTGGACGCGGCTGCTAGCAGCCTGACGTATGAGTCACAGCCTGGTTGATCAGGCCACACTAATCCTTGGACTCATTTGTTTTTTCTTCTTGTTTCCCCGCCAATCACAGCTGCCACACGCCCCCATAAATTGTCTTTGTTTGCTGTGGAGGTGAGGGTGACCCTGGTAGGGGTCAGGTGGGACCCCAGGGCCGTGTGACCCCACCTTCACGGGCGGGGTCGGGTGTGAGGGGGGTCCATGACCCCAGGGCCGTGTGACCCCACCATCACGGGCGGGGTCGGGTGTGAGGGGGGTCCAGGACCCCAGGGCCGTGTGACCCCACCATCACGGGCGGGGTCGGGTGTGAGGGGGGTCCAGGACCCCAGGGCCGTGTGACCCCACCATCACGGGCGGGGTCGGGGGTGAGGGGGGTCCAGGACCCCAGGGCCGTGTGACCCCACCATCACGGGCGGGGTCGGGGGTGAGGGGGGTCCAGGACCCCAGGGAGCCCACCACCCACACCTGACCTACATACGCGCCGTCCGTACCTCTGCTCCCCTGTTAGTGCCTGCAGGGTCGAGCTTTGGCTCCTGGACCCTTTCCAGCCGCTGGCTGCCTATGGCAATTACTCCCGATCTAGTTTTTCCATAATGTTTACGTTATAAATCATGGAGTTCCTTTCATCCTGCTCATTTAGTGAATTTTACTTTTTCACAACTTTTGCGCAGAAAGAAATCTTCCGGACATCTCTTTGACTTGTTTATTTCTCAAGGTTCTATCCCTTACCTTCTTATTATATTCGTGTTTGCTGTGAACATCTTCCATCACTCAGTATATCCCCGTAAGTATTTTCCACGCCTCTATCATGTCTCTTTTCTTCGAGCGACACTAAGTCTTTCAGTTTACTTTATATCACATTCCTCGCAGTTCCACGACGGGGCGGCGTACCTTGTTCCTGTACACACATATGAAGGACTTCTTATTAGGGACCCTGAATGATGCTCTGCCTTGTGCTAGTGTAAAGTATGCTGATGTTGTCCTGTTTATACCAGCCTCTGGAGCCAGGATTACTGTCGTGTCCACTGACAGGGGCTTCTTCTCAAGTCGTTACAAAGGAGGTAGTTTCCCGCCAATGTGTTCTGGCCCTTTGGTCTTGGCCGGGCTCCGAGCTCCACTCAAAGCTCCAGTCTCGGTCGAGTTCCGAGCTCCAAGTCTCGGCTTGGCTCAGTGTGGCTGTATAAATGTTTGTCTTAGGGATGAAGGCGCTTGTGTGCTTGACCCAGATGCATGGAGGCCGGCTAGCCAATATTCCCAACTAGGGGCAAAGTCGAAAATATTAAATGGAAGCAAACTATTATGCGTGAAGCCTCGACATTACTAATATATAGTGGAGAGCCGAGAGTGTATTAACATCTAGTGAAGTCATGACATTGGTAATGTTTAGTACAGAGTAAAGTCATGAGTAACATTCGTGACACGACCAATAATGAGACGACCAGAAGCAGTCTAGACGAGGACTCGAACCCTGGGCGCTGGTACTCCCAAGTACACGCCTTAGACCACTGTAACGTGGCCTTAGACCACTGTAACGTGGCCTTAGACCACTGTAACGTGGCCTTAGACCACTGTAACGTGGCCTTAAACTAAAATAATGGTGTACAATGTTAAGAAGAGTCCAGTAGAGTGTGTCCACAAGAGTCCAGTAGAGTGTGTCCACAAGAGTCCAGTAGAGTGTGTCCACAAGAGACCAGTAGAGTGTGTCCACAAGAGTCCAGTAGAGTGTGTCCACAAGAGTCCAGTAGAGTGTGTCCACAAGAGACCAGTAGAGTGTGTGTTGTCCAGCCTTAAGCTTACTTCGCCAGACACTTACCAGTCCTCCTCGACCCCAGACCAAAATTTAAACATATCTGATGTATTATTCGTACATCAAGAAGGCCTTATTTTCCAGCTAGGAAATGGCTTGGATCAAATAAATTGTATTGTAAATATGACAAAGTCATCACTCCTCAATGATGACTTTAAGTTTATAATCCTGAAGACATAAAATAATATTCATATACGCATACACGCACACACCTGTACAGGCATATACCTGTAAATTTACATACACATACAATTGCAAATTACAACACATACTCGTTAACATGTTTGTGTAAGACACTGAGCAGTCACTGAGCATTACGTGCAGGTCCGATATGACTGGAATTTTAGACAAAGGATCCCAATTAGCGAGAGTTCAAAGGCGAACAGTTGTCTGGAGAGAGATACACAGACACGCTGCTTGCCTGAGCGAGGACCTCGGGGGAACATGCTGCCACAGGTTAGCCACAATGTTCACACATATTAACAACTGCTACCAGGAGAACACGCCATAATGGGACCAACAGTCCCACCGAGCCCAGGATACAAGGAGCTACGGTGCCCCGTCTACGGTGCCCCGTCTACGGTGCCCCGTCTACGGTGTCTCCCTCTACAGTGTCCCGTCTACAGTGTCTCCTCTACAGTGTCCCCTCTACAGGGCCCGGAGGAGACCACGACCAGGACGACACGAGGAACCGCATACAACGGAAGCCTTTTCTGTACGATGTATGAGAGACTAGAAGGCTCATCTTCTTGAGGTCCAGAATAGAGGGGCAAATGTGGGTCTTGAAAGAACAGGTCAGGTCAAAGTTCACCTCCTACAACACTTATAGTAACTATGATACCTTTCCCTGTCTGTATCCTATGGTTGCCATCCCATGGTTGCCATCCCATGGCTGCCCTTAGCATAAACCCACAGAGGTACCTCTCAGCAGCTAACATCCTCAGTAATCACTGACACAAGTCGTGACAGCTTCACTACTGAAGCTGTCGCTCACATTCAGTAGTGATGATGACAGACCAGTTCCCTGCTAATTGCAAGGTTATCAACTGTCATTCATCACTGTCACATATGGTAATGGGGCGATCTGGTCCTGTCAGTGTTGAACTAATAGTCTCAAGGTCTCCACACACACACACACACACACACACACACACACACACACACACACACACACACACACACACACACACACACACACACATACACACGTACATGGTGTACACACGTACACACGTACACACGTACACGCACACGTACACACGTGTGTGGTGTGAAAAAAAACAAAAACAAAAAAAAAGTAGTTAGTAAACAGTTGATTGACAGTTGAGAGGCGGGCCGAAAGAGCAAAGCTCAACCCCCGCAAAAACACAACTAGTAAACACACGACTTTCTTTCATCTGATACCCCTGTTCATCTAGCAGTAAATGCGAGTCTGCTACGGATTGTATCCTGAGGATGTGGGTGTACTCACCTAGTTATGCTTGCGGGGGTTGAGCTCTGGCTCAACCCGTCTCTGGCTTGGTCCCGTCTCTCAACTGTCAATCAACTAATGTACAGGTTCCTGAGCCTACTGGGCTCTATATATGTGTGTGTGTGTACTTCTATCTATATACAGATGCAATTGCGCAGCGTTTCCTTTCCCACCTGATGCCTCTGTTCACCTAATAGTCAATAAATACCTGTGAGTTAAACAGCTGTTGTGGCCAGCACCCTGGGGATATGTGAGATTATATATATATATATATATATATATATATATATATATATATATATATATATATATATATATATATATATGACAGAAAATTGATTGGAAGTCAGGACAATGAACAACCATTAGAAGCAGTGCTTGTAGATAGAACAAGAGACGGTAAAGCAGGTGGAGGTGAACACATGCACAGGTGAACATGTGTGAGAACAAAACACCTGTGATCTAGGTCTGCCCCTAGAACAACATGTGTGAGAACAAAACACCTGTGATCTAGGTCTGCCCCTAGAACAACA